AAAAAATCTCCCGTAGTATTTTATACACGTTACCTGAAAGTTGATTATTTATCCAATAAGAAATTACTATTAAAAGAGTCGATGTACCTTTGCTTTCTATTTGAATAATACTTTTATAAACCACTCCTGCTGAAATCGGATACACTCGAAGCTTTTATTAGGCGATCGGAGAGTGATTTATAGATCGCATATCATGCGTATTATCGTTTTTTTCTCATTTTTTGTAGATGAGCATTGCTGTTTCATAATAGGGATACTATCAAAATTGTTACCACGTGAATCGTTTCAAGCGCTTTCTATGTCGATACCTTTATTCACAGAAACGAAAAAAGAAAAGTGAGAACAGATAGAGAGTGAACAAGAGATTTTTTTCGATACACATATAAGTATATTCTTCATTGAAGAAGAGCACAAACGCTCCATTCAAAAGAAAATACATGGCTCGATTCGCCGTGGTCTATTAAGTAATCCTAAATGAAATTGAGAAGATTCTGATCAACTTGGTCTGATCAAAAACATATGTACTTTCTTTTACAGTTTATTTTACTCTAACTAGTAACTTGGACTTCGTTATAACAGAAATTTTTCTATCTAAAGAATAAGAAAACAACAAATTTTATACTTTCCGCAAGTGCTCAGTTTTTATATATCCAAGCAGGAGAGTATTTACTAAAAATTTTCCTAACATCGCCATTTGTGCATCTTTTCAACGAACATGGTAGGATTGTAGTTAGCATAATTCATGACATTTAGTGCCAGTTTTTCTTTAGATCTGTCAAGAGCTCCCAATGTGCTTGATCTAACGTTCAATGAAAAGTTAGATCTATAAAAGGTTTTAGTTTTTTCAATGAAAAACATACATGTCTACTTTGGGGTAGACTATACGATCAAATAGATGCAGTCTCTATGGATGTATCTTCTTTAAATGAACAACGGGACGTGTTTTTATTCTATTATTTTCAAATAAATTATCGTAAATGAACCTTAATCTATCATCCTTTGTTTACAACAACATGCCTTTTTATTCCCACTCACTGTTGTTCTATTGGTTTTTGAGCTAATTCTTTCGCGGAAGAAAAAATAAACAATATATAAATTTTTGTTCAGTTAATTTTACAACCGCTTTGTAGTTACTAGAGACTCAGACAGAATTCATTTCTGAAAGAATCAAAAGAAGATACCACGATCGGTTTCGACCTTTCTCAAGGGTCTCGTCAGGTGGTTTCCTTCGAGAAAGACAGGGTTAAGGCACGACAAGCAACACAACTCCATCACACCGTATGAGGGCGTTATTATTCCTCGTTCTTATCGAACAAAGAACGATAACTTTCACACGACTAGAACGAAGCACGATATCACTGTACAATGCACATGTTCTGCTTCTCTACTTTATAATCCTCTACATTCTCTACTTAAAAATCCGAGTAAAAGATAGTGGCCTTATATAACAGACAGCTTTTCGCTTCGTTCATTGATGTTAATCAATATTTTTGTTTTGTATATAATAATAATATTTCTTATTTAAATGTAAATGCAAGGTATCATATACACGTGCGGTACAAAGGTTATTTCAATGAAGCTGAATGTATGATAAAATAATATCGGCAATCGCCCTTGAAAGGTGCATTGTATGTAGGAAGAAGTAAAACGCCTATTCAGCAGTTTGAACATTCGAGGTATGCTAAATGTTCTGATATTTTCGTTAGTTAGTCCTTGAAATTCGCTTATTAAATAGGGTCGTTACTGGATAGGAGAAACCAAGAGCATGCTTAAATACCTAGATTTGACTTTTTATACAATAAAAATAATATCAACGTCTATCTAGATATACAATCACGAGGATGATGGTGACGGGTTAGGTAAATAAGGTGCGGGCAATTCAATACTGTATTTAACCGCCAGCATTTCAAGTTTTGTAACCTAGATAGAAAAGTAAATGATAAAAGGCGAAATCTATCTTTGAAAGTATAAAACGAGTTTCACTTACATTTTGAAACGCTCGACGTGTTGAAAGTATTTCATGCATTTCCTTTAACTTAGCTTTATCTGGTAATTGAATATCTAGATCTTTACATAATTCAACTAAACCTTTTGATCTATCTTTGTTTTCTCGACGTTGAAAATAACAATCAATAACTTTTATTGCGCCGTTTTCATCAATATATTCAATTTGTTTAATTGGACAACGAGTACCGATATTCTTACCAAAATCTTGTAATGAATATGCTTTAGCAGTATGGATTCTTGCGTTGTCCACGATGATTTCTATCTGATTATTCTTGTTTAAATTCTAGCATTTGAAAAAGTCTTTCAGTAAAGATAAACACAAAAAATAGCATAATAGAAATTATATTTAAAAAGTTTCGATTACTGCGCTTACATATAAGTATTCTATGAGGACTTTGGGCTGGAATATTCCACATGGGTGCGTCACCATTACTAATTGTGTAATAAAAATCTTTATGTGGTAGAAAATAGTCAATAAATTCATTACGATGTTTCACTGCATCATTCCTTTCGTCTCCTTCAAAATAGAGACGTTGTGAATTTGCTTCAAACTTAGCTCCCCATCTACGAAGATTCACACGACAACTTCTTTCAGATCTTATAAAATCATCACCAATTTGTTTTTGAATTGCCGTTAATTCATTGTATTTTTCATCAATAAACTGAGCCAAATCCAAAGCCTTAAATTCTCCTGACTTTTTAGAACACGCTTGAACGACAAATACTTTCACATCTGCTTCAATTTCGGGAAACACACCATAAATGAATCAGCTTATTTACCACCACGTAAATCGTTTGAAAACTCTTCATAAAATCTCCTCTGAACACTTAAACACTGTTGCCCATTTATGAGAAGTTCCTGCGGTTATAAAACCAATACTTTTCAAATAGTAATCGGCATCTTCCGATTTAATGTCGAAGAAACGTAATGACATATACAACAAAGTCCTAAGATATTTCGTGTCACATTTCGACTTGCACATTTCAGCAAGATCACCAATGTCGGTCAATAAAAGTTTTTCATTGAAAGTTACTTCTTTGTCATCAGTATCCATGTGATATTCGTTATCTGACGAGTCGCTTGCATCCGAAATCTTTGTATTTGACCAGCGACGATCTATTGCACTCTGCAATTGACTTTTCCTTTTATTTGCTTTAGGCATACCAAACTAACTTAGTTCAATTACAAATGAAATTATCTTAAAGAAACACACATTTCTTGATCATACAACGGCAAATTTTGCGCAGTTTTAGGCACTCAATACGGAGTTATTATCGATGACAAGCTTTATGCGAGCCTCTCAACCTTTTACCAACTTTAAGTTGGCAATATAAATGTACTGGTACTTGTAACACGGAACGGTGTCCGTGAAAGAAAACATAATCATAAACGTTGCATAAAATGTCACAGTCGAAGAACAGAAAATGTGAAAACTGTTAAAAAAGTTTGTTTACTCAATTTTATTTAAGTCTAAAGCAGTAAAAGAAATAGCGGTTACATAGTCTCATTTTACAAGTGCTTGTCTTTGTCTAAACACAAGACATAAGTCAATTTCAACTGACTGTTAAGACGTTTTGATTCACTTTAAAACTCAACTAGTCCACTTTGAAACGCATAATTGATCCAGTTCAGTTTCAAATCCATCTAGTTAGCTTCATCAGATGAGATCTAAATTTCGGTTAGACATAGGAGAAATAGAAAATTGTGAAATGCACTAGTTGATTTTGAAACGGCTTTTAAAATGAACGAGTTCACGTTGAAATTTTGATTTTGAGTATTTTTTATTGAAACGATTCGATCTCACGTAGTTCAGTTTTAAACTTAACTGGATTTTAATTCAAACTTCGACATATATATATACAGATAGATGAGTATATGCATTTCTGAGTTCTTAACTTTCTCAGTTACTGCGGCAAAAGAACGCTTTTTGCTGCGAAACCTTTACTTCGAGACATCAAAGAATTCACAAAAGTTTTCTAGCAGAGGGTCACCCTCTTCGAGCAAAACTCAAAATGAATACAATGGTCCAAGCTATGTTCTTAATTATTTTCAGCGTATAGCTACTCTTGCAAATCATAGACATAGCTCTATCCAACAGTAAAACAGTTTCTACGAGGTGGAATAAACTCAACAACGAAAGGCTTTCTGTCCTTTTCTTTTTATTTGTCTTTTACGTTGCTCACTAAACATCACTAACATAACTATGTTATTGTTTGTTTCTTTTGTTTAATCATCATTATCCTAAGGTGTTCTAATAAGTAATGCGCACAAATGTGATTGTGTAAATATGCTATTAAAGCAAACATATTATCATAATTTCAGATAGAAAAAAATCGTCGTTTTTTTCTTAAAAAAAGCACACACACACACACACACACACACACACACGCGCGCGTGCGCACGATGTCGTCTAGCACAACATCACCAAACAGCATGAATATATCTATTATTGGAGNATGGGAACTGATCATAGTGCTGATGATCATTTTGCTGGAAAAAAAGCATCTGATACAGATATGTGTATAGAAATTGGTGGAATCAATTCAGAAAATGAATTAATAAAAACATCAAAACCTGGGTTTGTTCACATTCGATGGAATCCAATAAAAGAAACATTAAAGTCAAAGCCCTATTCAAATGATCAAAATAATCAACGTTATATAAATGGCTTTAAAATAAAGCAAAATGTGAGCAATTTCGTTGAATACAATTTTGAAATGGGTAATATACAGCTAGATAAAACAAAGGCAATTCAACCAACATCTGAATCAGCAGCTTTAGAGGCAAAATTTAGTTCATTTTCCGATGTACCAACTTCACAATCATTTAGTGATGCACTAACAGATGTTTTAAATGTTCAACAATAACAAGAGCAAAATAGTGAACAATTATTATTGTATAAAAGCAATTTTCTAATTTTCAGTCAGATAGCAAATGATCCAAGGATTTTGAATATAATGAAGCAATTGGCTGTAAAAATGACTTTGAAAAATTATGCCTATAATGCTGTACGCTTAACAAGTCCAATATTTTTAATTTCACTAACAGAAGAACAAAAATTAAAGGCAACAAT